TTTTTTTTTTTTTTGGGTACAATGAACCTTCCGGTTTCCGAATCCCCTAGGGGACCGACTAATTCGGAATCGAGCCGGGTAGGACCACAAGGGCGGCAAAGCTCTACCTCAAGAGTTTTAACACTCGAGTAGAATAATGTTATCTTAACTTTACCTATTGCCTAGTGAAATAAGAAATTTATGAAATTATGAGTTAGCTCATGAAAATTGACCTTTACAAATGATAATAAACATCGACAAGGGCGTAGATAGGGCTGGGCTCACTCGGACTCCAACCCAGTCATAATTTTTTATTTATCTAAATATGTAGTAATAAAAATTATTTTAGCTCATGTCTTATTAAGTTAATTAATGATAAAATTATTTACCCCATATTATTTTCATTTTTTTTTATTTTAAGTGAACAAATTATATATATATTTGGACATGACTCAAACCTTTTAATATGTAATTTTATGTGGTTATAGCTTATTTTGATATTTTTTCTTCTTTATTTTCACTTCAATGTTTGGCTTAAGATGCTATTAATTTATATTGTTTAAATTACATTACATGTGAAATATATCAATTACTTGTTGACTTTTAAATAAATGATATCTTAATATATGAAATATATAATTTAATTTCATTTGTTTGCGTAACATATGCAATGAAACAACACTTGGAATTCTACAATTTAAGTGACATACCATATAACAAGTATGTTGAGTTAACCTGCTAATTTAATGAAATTTCATTTGGACTTCCACAATTTAAGTGAAATATCATATAACAAGTATGTTAGGTTGACCTATATAATAAAATGTTCATCTCATAGTAGTATTCAAAATAAATTATATTAATTTCTATAAGTCAAATTTAGGTAGATAGGAAGAAATTACGTGTACTTTTTTTGAATAAAAAATTACTACATAAAAAAATCGACAAGTTTATGCTAAATGCGATCGATCTTCGTATAAATACGCATAAAAAAATAGCATAAGGTGTTTTTAATTTACTAAACAATATGACACATTTTTAATAATTTATTTTTAGTTCGTTTTGTAATTTACATTAAATACTTGAGAAAATATCGTACTTGAATTTTTACACATAACAATAGTGATTTTTTAAGCCAAATTGAGTCAAATACATCATGTTCGAACTCGTGCTCGTATAATAAACGAGACTGTTTGGCTCGGATCATTTAGTAAATAGAGTGCAATCAATTAAACTCCGCTCGTTTGAATTAAATTTCTATTTTATTAGACCTAAAGGTGAGGTCGGGTGAGACATCAGAGCAGGGTCGAGGATGTTCTCAGAAGGTCCCTAACGGATAGGATGGGAGGTCAGACGTATGACCTGAGTATTCCCAGATTAAAACAGTAAAAGGAGGAAGAATCTAAGTAAGAAGAAAAGAATCACTTGCTCAGTGACTCTTGCCAATATAGAGACGTGATAAGTTAGGGAAGTAGAATCCCAGTGATCTGTTCCCTAACAAGAATTCTCTTCGGTTAAAAGGTTTCAAGTCTTTTATATAGACGACATGTTATCTCAGTTTACACAACACATAATCCACGCTTATTCTACATATTCTATATTCACAGTTGAGCAAATTCTGACTTGAGCGTCAGAGAGTTTTCCGTCAGACTCCCCTCCCGGCGTATTGCAGGTTACCGAGAGCTCAAGGAACGGGATCGTTTAAGGTAGAAGGTGTGCAACCCGATCGTGACCAAAGGTAACGTATCAATGTTTATTATTCATGGGTTTAAAAAATTAATTTTAAAAAATATTAAATATAAGTCAAAACTATTTCAAGGATCAAGTATATTCAATCTTAAAATACAAACTAATTGGTCATTTGTCAAATTGACGCGTAAATTACTAGATTATGAAGGATCAGTGTATTTATAATATATTTGGTTATAAAATAAGATAAATTGAACTGTAATAGTAAATTATATATTTGGAAAGAAAAATTAAAATTATTATAATATATATATTGTTACAAAGTATAATGACAAACCAACGGATCATCTGTAAAAAAAATTGACTTAGAAAGAAAAAATATTTACAATGTATATAGTTATAAATTATAATGAGAAACCAACAAGTCATCTATCGAAAGTCATAATATTTATAATGTATATTGTCATAAATTATAATGATATCTCAACCGGTGTCGAACTAACATGAAAGTTATTTTATAATGGGTGAAATAAGTATATAAACCATATATTAAATTGTTACATATCATAAATATAAAATAATATTAGTATTAAAACTATTTCTATACTAATCAGTATTCCTTCATTGTTTTAATTTATAAAATTTATCATTATTGTCTCGTGCATCGCACGGACTATGTACTAATTCAAGAAAATAAAATATTACAAGTTTAATAAATACATACATTATGTTTGGTAAATATAAGTGAAAAGCTACTTTATAACGTTATAACTGATAATTTATGAGTAAAGACTAGAAAACTAGCCACTATAGTAAAAATGTATGATAAAATTAGTTGATAAGTCGACTGAAATAAAATANTAAACTACACCCTTTTAAAAAAGTTCATTATATCAAATTAATTTTATTTAAATAATACATAAATTATAAATTTAACTTTAAAAGGGTTGTCAAACACATTCCAAACTATATTTATTTGAATAGAAAAAAACAAACTTGCAATAAATGCAATCATAGAACGGGATGGTAGTATTCTCTTAGAGCATCTTCAATGCTTTGGGTTCAATCCCAAAAAATTACATGCCACATAAGAAATAGACTCAGTCCAAAAAAATATATTCTCCAATGCAAATAAAAGTAGACTGAGTTCTGCTGATGTGGCAGCCAGAAAAAGAGACCCGGTCTCCCCTTAAGTCCATTTTAGACCCAAGTAGAGACCTAGTCTCTTTGCATTGGAGTGAATTTTATTAATTTTACATAATTTTATCCACGTCATCTAAGACTTGGGTTTATTTACTTGCCACATAGGCAAGACTAGACCCAATGCATTGAAGATGCTCTTACAATCATATCTAAACCCTAATGATGGCAACCCGAACGTGAAGACGAGAGCAAGCTGCGACCAGCTCATGATTATTCCTCAATAATCTATTCAGTGGCATTAGCTGTTATTATTCCAACTCTCAAGTCCTTTTCCACACACCGCCAGCTCACACTGCACTTGCACAGTCCTCAACCTCCTCACATGTGAATATAATCTCATCCCCCAACGTTACAAAACAAAACAAAACAAAAATCCTCAACTAACCACACCTAAAATCCCCATTTCCACTCCAACGATGCAGCTCCGCCGCGCAGCCGCCGCCGTGGCGGTTCTACTGTTCTCTACTCTCCTCCTCCTCCCCTCCGTCGCCGACGCCCATAACATCACCCGCATCCTTGCCCAGCACCCCGAGTTCTCCACCTTCAACCACTACCTGACCGAGACGCACCTGGCGCCGGAGATCAACCAGAGGGAGACCATCACCGTCTGTGCGGTGGACAACGCCGCAATGTCGGATCTGCTCGCCAAGCACCTCACCATCGGCGCCATCCGCAACGTCCTCTCCATCCATGTCCTCCTCGACTACTTCGACGGGAAGAAGCTCCACCAGATCACTGACGGCACCGCCCTCGCCGCCACCATGTTCCAGGCCACCGGATCCGCCCCGGGCTCCACCGGCTTCGTCAACATCACGGATCTGAAGGGCGGTCGGGTCGGGTTCGCCCCGCAGGACGGCCCCGTCGCCGCAACCTTCGTCAAGTCCGTCGAGGCCATCCCCTACAACATCTCCGTCATCCAGATCTCCTCCGTCCTACCCTCCCCGGAAGCCGAGGCGCCAGCGCCGGCGCCGAGCCAGGCGAACATAACTGCCATCATGTCGGCGCACGGCTGCAAGGTCTTCGCCGAGACGCTGCTGGCCAATCCAGACGCCGAGCAGACGTTCGAGAGCAACGTCGAAAGCGGGCTCACTATATTCTGCGCCGGGGACGAGGCTATGAAGAGCTTCGCCCCCAGATTCAGAAACTTAACCGCGGCCGGAAAGCAATCGCTGCTGGAGTACCACGGGATCCCGGTCTACCAGTCGATGGCCGGCCTGAAATCGAGCAATGGCCTGACCAACACGCTGGCCACCGACGGCGCCAGAAAGTTCGATTTCACGGTGCAGAACGACGGCACCGACGTGACGATCCGGACGGGAATCGTGACGGCGAAGATCAGGCATACTCTGATTGACGACCAGCAATTGGCCATCTACGAGGTGGACAAGGTCCTGATGCCAAGGGAGCTGTTCAAGGGAGCGCTGGCGCCGGCGCCGGCGCCGGGGCCCGTGGCTGACGCGGAGTCCCCGAGGCCGGCCAAGGGGAGGCGTCATAGAGCTCCGGCAGCTCCTGCGGCGGATTCTCCGGCGGATTCGCCGGACGGTGATGTGGCGGATCAGACGGCCGATAATAACGGCGCATCTGGATTTGAGGGTGGGAGATTTGTGGCTGTTATTTTGAGCTTCTGGTTTGCATATCTACAGTTATGAGTTTGTGTGTGTGTGTGGGAATTTGATTCCAATTTTTTGAATTTCCTCTGTTCGGTTTCAAGTTTTATCCGCTGAAAATAATTCTTGCTGTGAACTTGTGATGGCTATTTAATTTATTTGTACTAGACTAGATTGGTACAAGTCTATGTTTTTTCATTTTCTTCTTTTTCTTTAGTTATATAGTGTTTTGCTGTTTGTTTGAGGGTTGATTGTGTTGACGTTGTCGGTGCATAATTATATATTTTCTTTTCACACTATTTTTTCTCTCCATATGAAATTCTATTCGTTTTGAATCTTCAGATGTGCTCCTATTTTTTATAAGTGAAAATTACAGGGTACTTGTTTCTTGATGGCGTTATTATTTTCCATCATTTTTACCTACCCTTCATAAATTCGCTCATTATGGGGCAACTGATGTAATTTAATATGGCCCTACCAATCTACCATTGTGACTAGTATCTAAGAGGATTTATGCCTGTAACTAGTATCTTCATCTTCACAACGATTTGCTCATCGAAGACCTGCAAAATATGTCAGGAAGTGTTTTTGGCGTTGTTTGACGATCAAGTCAGTGAAGGGTTATGGAAATCAGTACGTAATTGTATCGTAAAACTCCGAGTATATAGAGTGATTAATCTTTTATCTTTAATCCCTCACCTATTTATAGCGAATTATTAGCTTATTGAACAAGTTTTTACCTTTTTGCTCGAAGGGCTACTCGAGTTCCTGAGTTCCCAAGTTGCCTGAAGGCTTGTTATTTAACTCGAAGAGCTAAATAACTGTCCAACAGTTATTTAGATCTTTCATCCCGCAGTATCATTTAGATATTTCTTGTATAGCTCTACACGTGTATAGCTCCATAGGTCTTCTTTACTCTCTTACTCTTAACCCTTATAAGTCCTTCTCCAGATCGAGTCTCCCTAGGTTGCTCTTCATAATATAAGGCCCCCAACTTATTATGCATAGTTCTACCTGTTTTGTCTTTGTCCTAACTGTTATACTATCCGACCTATTGAGTACTGATGCACCCTCTTCCTTGACTATCACATGTCCGAAGTACTTTCATACTATATTGTTCGAGTTACTTACCCACTATGATGTCCAAGCTATATCGATATACTATGTTGTTCGAGTTACTTACCCACTATGATGTCCAAGCTATATCGATATTGTGATTCCTAAGCTACTGACACAATACCGTCCGAGCTATTAACACATTGTGCTTTCTGTGCTATTGACACATAATATTGTCCGAGCTATAAACACACTATGATAAAAAAGAAGTGAACATAGGTAAGATAGACAAATCTATCTAAAAATCGTTTCTATTTTTCTTATTTTCTTAAGTACTAATGCACTATGTTGTTCGAGCTACTTATAACCCACTCATCCTAACTAGCTGAGGTCCCTAACTCGAGCAACTTTGGGGACCACTACTCGAGCTAACTGTAGCCTGTTTACCCGAGCTACACTATATGCTATATCATCTAGCCTCCCCGTCATCAAACGAGCTATTGTTTTTCGAGCTCAATACACTTGTTTGATAATAATAACAAAAATAAATATCAGTTTGAAAAGGTCATACCCGACTTGGACTCACGGGACATACTTCATATATCGCGCCTGTCTTTTCGCCTGACTCATCTGTCAAGCTCCTCGTATTTCATACCAAAATCTCAAATATGAGCCCTTCAATTTATTGTAGATTATGAATTCCCTCTGCTATAAAAACCCTCATCTTCCTCACTTTCTCGTTTTCTGCACTTTCGAATCCTTGAGCTCTCCCAAAACAAAATACTAATTATCTGCAATTTCTAGCGACTTGTCCATTATTCTCCGGCGATCTTCTCCTGCTATTCTGACAATCTTCTCGCGCTTCACGGCCACTAAAAAATGAGTAAAATATTAAACTCTGTGTTGTTTGTATATGTGTATTGTTCTTCGTCTTCGTCTTCCCCGTTCTCATCTATCACCTTTTTCTATTTTTTTTTCTTATTTTCCACCTAATTCCCGTAGCACTGCAGCGATCTTCTCGCACTCCGACCAGTCGAACCCTACAACGAGCTCCTCCCACTCTAACCAGTCTCTAGCTATTATTCCCGCCCCCATTAGAGCTTAGCCTATTAGGTCGACCTTACACCTTATAGATGAGCCCTCATGGAACATACCCTAGGATACTTTAGAACAAATTGTAGATGCCCATCGTTCGACCTACCCCATGGACCACCCAAAGATGTATCTCTTTTTAACTCCGAGCTAAGAGCTCGTCAAGCTCGTGTAACCGTATACACCGACCAACATGCTAACCCTAACCTAGAACGTGCTTCTAATGTTGTAGTTCTTACAAGAGCCAATCCTTTTTTCTTCGTCCAAGAACCTGAAATAAAGGCATTTATGAGGATGTGCGAGCTCCCTCCTGGTTGGGATTTCAATCACAATCAGTCTCCACCTAGGTTTTACACCTTTTTTGTTGACCGAATTCTCAATGGTCTTCATTTTCCAATTAGATTTGATAGAGAATTGTATCATATGCCCATAAATCAGCTCAGCCCTAACTCCATTCGTATAATAATAGTAGTTTTTATAATTCTTAACCGTTATAAACTTCAAGATCTAGATACGTAATTTTTCTTTTTATAGTTATGACCTCAAAAAACAAAAGGGCTCGATTTATCTCAGTGGTCGTAATTGAGTCGAGTTTATTAAGGACCTGCTCACCAATGTTTCACATTGAAATTTGCGATTCTTCTTTGTAAAACCTTCCTTAGGTACATTTAGGGGGTGTATTTAATTAGGATTTTTAAGGACTTTTTAAGACTTTAGAAATCCTGGTGTATTCAATTTAGATTTGTTAAGACTTTTTAAAACTTTTAAAAATCCTGGGGTATTCAATTGGGATTTTCAAAAGTCTTACAAAATCCTGAGGTATTTAATTTTTTTGACACTAGGATTTATTAAGACTTTTTAAGATTTTGTGGGATTTCTAAACAAAAAACCTTATATGAAATCTCACTTAAAATCCTACCTCCGGACTTGAGATTTCATAGAATTCTTCCAAAATCTGAAAATCCTAGAAAGTCTCAAATCTCGAAAAGTCTTAAAATGTCACTTAAATTCCGAATTGAATACACTCCCCTTAATTTCCGTAGGAGGGGTTTGAAGAGACTCCAGGTCAAAATTAAAGCCAAAATATATTACCCCATTTGACAATCTGATTGCCGAGTGGAATAAGGTCTCTCACGACATAGATAAGCTCACTTTAGGTGTCTAGCTTTTGATCCTACTATGGATCGACCTCTAAAAAGGCTGCACCTTCTGACTTAGGTACATGAACTGACAATACTTTTTTTATTTTACGACCTCTTGAAGGCCGCCTTGAAGCTCCATCCAACAACGAGCCACGTTTGCGACTCAGAGATGCAGGCTAAGTAATGCATGCTTCGGGTTACCAAGGTATTTATCAGTCCTTTCTTCCATTATGTGTCGAGCTCCTTATACTTTGATAGCTAATAACAATTTTGCTCGACTAAGATCTAATAGCTGGCGAGAACGTTTGAAAAAATTCAATAAATAAAGAAAATCAACTAAACCTAAGGCCAGACTACAAACATAGAATAAGAGATCGGTGGAGAGATGAAAAAATATGACTAAAAGAAGCTGAGAAAATCTTTCTTTGTCGAGGCTAAAGAAAAAGAGAATATATATGAAAGAAAGATCCAATAGTTTATTTATACAAATGTGGAGAAGGATAAAACAAAAGTTAAAAAAAAAACATGAGTGGAGAAAAAAAAGATCTATATATATTGAAAAAGAGAAGTTAATAAATTATTTGTGGAAACTTTTAAAAAATAATGAGTCAACCATTTGACTTACTATTATAAGTAATATTTTAAAACACACATGTGATAATGATTTTCGAAAATTTTGGTAATTTGTTAGGATGTGATAGTGTTAATGTTTTATCCTTTTTTTTTTTGGAAACATCTTTGATAATCTATTCAATTTTTTTTGCCTTTTTTTAACAACTTTAACAACCTACACGGATTTTTTAACAAATTTAACGATTATTATGCTAATTAACCAAATCTACTTTATTAACTTCTATTTAAGTAAGAAGATAATTAAATATTAAAGAAAATAAGATTAAAAAGAAAAAGAAAAAAAAAAAGAGATAATTATGTTGAACTAGAATCGGTCATCTCTTCCGAAATCTCCTCCCCAAATTTCTCTCATCTTCCCCGAATTTCAGCAGGCCCATCGAGATTTTTTTGCAGTCAATCTTTCTCCTTTAAAATCCTCAGCCAACCCTAAGATCTCCCTCTGTATCTCACCCTCAATTTCACTCGCAAAAATCCTCGATTTTTTCTGCAATTTTCTCCTTCGGCGAGACAAACATGGCAAACGCGTCGTCCGGCCACAAGCAGCGAGCCTCGAATTCCGACGGCCAGAGCAACCCTAGGTCGCGAGCCCCAAATCCTCTCTCCATTCCAGCGCCGCGTCGTCCGTGAAACTCATCGGCATTTTGAGACATCCCAGCGAGTTCGAGCTCACATCTGACTTCTGGTGACCCTCCTCTGCATCCGACCTCGAGCCGCGACCGGCGACCTTCACAGCACCACAGAGTCGACCGACCTCGAAATGCGTTCGATTGCGTACATAGAGGAGAGCCTTTTTCAACAATCAACCAAGCCGAGACAAGGGCACTACGGTGACCGAGCAACCTTTTTCTTCCGGTGTTTGTGTTCCTTTTTTTCCGACACAATGTATATTGGATAACCCGACTCTTGAGTTTGATTGGTGTTGGAATTTTGGTTGGGATATTTTGATCGTAACAGTCGAGCCTCTTATTTTTCCAAGTATCGAACCTCTGTTGTTGGCATATTTTAAAAAACCATTTGTGAAGCTTCAACCTTTTTGGGCCAAACGGCCGTCACTGGAGCAAACTAATCGTCTAGCTTTCACAACCGTGTCGAAGGCATCGCAGTGCCACGACGCAAGTA